GTGTTCTGCAGAGGTTGCCTTGTATTCCTCTGCCTGCCTCCTGGTGAACTCATGGCTGCCTTCAAGTTTCAAGTTGTCCTGTCTTGTGACCTTGGTGACAGTAGATGCCTTTTGGGTGGTCTGGAAAAGAAATCAGGGTCAGTATAAAAATTATTTTCAGAAATTAGGTGCATGTCAGAGAGTTCATTTCATATTCAAAATGCCAGAAGAAAGGAGTTTCTTGAATACTGCAATTTATCTTGGCCAGTAGGATATATTATGCGCAAGTTCCAAAAGAAAACTCTCTTTTTTAATTATGCTTATGTCTGAATCACATAACTTTGGTTTTATGAGGCAATGTAATTGGTATGAAGGGAAGTGGCAACATATATTTTGAAGCAAACTTACAGAGTAGTCATCTCTTCTCTGAAGATCCATTGTCCCTTCAAGGTGCAAATTATCAGTGGTTCTTTTGACTGCAACTCTCTCTCCTTGTGGGAAACCCATTTTCTCAGGAAACTCCATGGTTCCTTCAGGTTTGAGATTGTCACTAAGCTTGGATGGGACAGATCTTGGAACAGGCTGATACCCTTCTTTGGATGGAAACTCCATTTTTCCTTCTGGGGAAAGATTGTCTCCATGTGTAACAGGCTTAGCTTTTTGTCCAGGGGTGTATTGAGACTTCTCTGGAAATTCCATGGAGCCCTCTGGTCTTAAATTATCTTGTACCTTGGATTGTCTTGGTCTTTCCCCTGGTTGGTAACCTTCTTTTCCAGGAAATTCCATTTGTCCTTCAGGTCTCAAATTATCAGGGTGTTCAGTTCTTGGAGCTCTTTCACCTGGAGCATAAGATTCTTTGCTTGGATACAAGATCTTCCCACTGGTCTGTAAGTTGTCTGGATGTTTCACAGGCTGAGACCTCTGTCCAGGAGTGTATGCTTCCTTTTCTGGGTAGTAGTGAACACCCTCTGAATGGAGATTGTCTGTTGCTTTCTTTGCTGGCAGTCTCTCCCCCACTTGGAAACCTTCCTTTGCTGGGAAGTCCATGGCTCCTTCAGGCCTCAGATTGTCAACCAATTTGGATGGTTGAGATCTTTTCACAGGTGTGTATCCTTCCTTCTCTGGGAACTCCATTTTTCCTTCAGGAACAAGGTTGTCTCCATATGCCACAGGTTTAGCCTTTTCTCCAGGAATGTATTGTCCTTTCTCTGGGAACTCAAAGGAACCTTCTGGTTTGAGCTGATCTTGCATTTTAGTGGGTTTAGCCCTTTGAACAGGTTGATAGGTGTCTTTTTGGGGAAACTCCATTTGTCCTTCTGGTCTGAGATTGTCAGGGTGTTCTGCCTTTGGCATTCTCTCCCCAGGTGAATAAGATTCTTTGCT